CTGTATAAGATTATAAGAGCGGGTGTGGCGTGCTTGCAAATTTTAGATGTTGGATCTAGTGAGGGTGGCTTACGGACGTGAACGCGATTTCGGGGTTTTCGTTCCTGCCCAGATCCCTCACAAGAGTCAGCAAAGTTCTTGAAAACGGACCCATCTTTACCCATACGTCTTCTAAGCACTAGTATAGGAGGGTAGGTGACTGGATTTGGGGTGTAGTTTGGTATATGGGTCAGCGTACATAATATGTTTCACAATGCGATTACCTTTGTCTCAAGTGCGCGGGTGCAAAAAGATCGTTTCATGGTAGCGGAACTCCTGGTGTATGGAGCTTGTACTCTTCTTGCGTGCCCAGTGTGCTAGACGGGCGCGACCACAAGCGGTGGGGAGAGAAGAAATGGATCCAGGATCCTGAGCATGCCCAAATGAATTGGGTTCGGCTGCTGGCCAAATTGCTGAAGGTACGAAGGTACCAACGATTGTTCCACGACTTGGTTGCGACCCCAAGATTTCCCGCGAAACCTGTTGGATAGGATCTCGCGGATCCTGGGAGGCATCGTTCGGCGGCGCACTCGTTTCCTTGGAAGGTAGAGCCCGCTTTGGGATCTACCCGGGAGAAAGGAGAAGGGATGGCAACGCCACCCACACCAGCGACCGGTGCAGCAGCCACCGATGAGCAGCTTCTGATGAAATGCTGCAGACACAATGGGACTCAGAGATTGCTGGAGGGCAAGGTCAGAGGCCACGGGGAACCGTGGTGGATACAAAAGCAATCGACCAGCCCGTGAAGTTGGGAGGTATGCTTGAGGAAGCATCGCGCTCATGGCGGCAATGGAACTACAGCCTGGAGCTTTGGCTCACGAGCCAGTTCCCGGAGACCAGGGATATCCTCACGTGACTGGATTTGCGGTGTAGTTTGGGAAATGGGTACAAATGTTTCACAATGCGATTACCTTTTGGCTCAAGTGCACGGCTGCTAAAAGATCGTTTCAGTTCTATAATCCCCGTACAATCCAAAAGGTAAATCTTTATTCCCCCAAGCTGGAAGTAGGTTGTATACGAGTTCTGTTTGGATACTTACAAAGCTTAAACCCTTTTGGACTCTTGACGAGACATCTCCGAAGCTCAAGAGGGTGTGAATCTTTCTCCGGGAAAGTGCGATGCGTTACTTAAACTCAGGAACCCCTACCCCAAGCCCAAAGCTCGAAGAGTTAAACAGTTAAGCTCTACACTCCTATAAGCCAAGGTGAACGCACGAGATCCGTCCAGTCGGGGAGCCTGCACAACCGGCAGGACAGAGCAAGTTGTTTTGCACATATCCGAATGAATCGTGTGGGAAAGCATAATCAGGAAGGGGAAGAGCCAGCATGTAATGGTCGCACGCATCCCACCCATTGGAACAACATAGTGAGCCCTGAGCAGTTCCCGCTAGGGAGTGGAAACCAATAGAACTTCCCTCTTTGTTCTGACACAGATTATTTCTGGGAGGTCTACTGAGTCTACTGATGTCATGTGTTTTCTTCAGTTCTTCTGGCCTCAAGCTATGTTTGCCACAGACCAGGCCCACGTCTTTGCACCACTGACTTTGTCTCCAGAATTATAGCATGTTCGAGTCGAGGAAAGAACAAGTTGACAATCATATCTGTAGGTTGTTTTAGTGTCAGTTGGGTGTCGTCTGATGATTTCCGGTGTCAATGCCAAGTGGTCCTCGATGCAACACAGAATGTCCAACAGAAGTACAGGCATGCGGCAGCAAGCTCGGCCAACAGTTGTACTGATGCAGTGGCCGGGAAATTGGGGCCTAAACGGCCTAAATTCTAAAAGCCGTGTGTTTCTTTCGGCAGCGCTGCGAATCTCGAGAAGTGCCCGAAGTCTTGTATCACGTCCACAGTATGTGGCGGTTTTCATTTCGGGGTACCAGATTTAGGGGCTTTCACAGGAAGGATATCTTGCACTTAGGGCATGGGGTTTGCCTCGGTCAAGATGCTTGCAGGTCGTAGTCTGGCTAGACTTGAATCAGTAACAAAACAGGCATCGGGCCTTATCTTAGTCCACGCACAGTCCTGCACGTAAAACACAGAAGTGCGTGCCCACGCAAGGCTTGAAGTCTACGCTGGCGAGCTGTGCGTAGGGATGAGGATGATGATGATGATGATGATGAGAGTGCTGTTATTTCACTGAGTCGTTTAGTAAATGTAGTTCGAGGATTTATGGACATGAGACACGTGGCAACTCCATGTTTCACCTATACCGACTTCCCTTGTAGAAGTAATGTGTCCGAAGCAGGCGCACCGTAACTATGATGTAATCACCCTAGACCGTACGACTTGTCTTCAAGAAATCCTGAACCCTAAGATCTTTCTAAATCTTGCGGTTCCTAGGTCATCGGACAGCCATCTCCTGGGCCGCAAGCCTGGAACCTAGAGCTAGAGCGAGCTTTTGGAGGGTCTTGGGTTCAGGGCTGAGGGCTTCAGAGTGACCTCCATGGGTTATGCGTTGTCGGATTTTACAGGGCTTATAGACTCTGGAGTGAGTTTTCGGGTCACCGGACAACTTTGGTTGTGTAATAGGAATATCAGGAGGTTGGGAAATGCAGAGGTTCGGACTTAGGAGGGGTTTGAGTTGAAAGTTTCGGGTGTGTTTTGTGTTTCATGACTTGGGCTTTACAAGGTGTCGGGGTTTGGGACTTGCGATGCTTTGCACTGTTTTGGGGCTTAGGGCTAGGATCTTTCGGTGATTTTGGGGATGGATGTCAGGGGTTAGGGTTGTTCTTAGAGGGTTTTCGGTGTCAGGAATTCAACGCTGCCGCCTGAATCTCTAAGCCCTTATCCCGCATCAGAGTATGCATTGCAAGTGTCTGGGTATGCAGGGGCCAGCATGCCGAAGACTTCAAGAGTTGAATCCTGAATGCCAAATCGCGAATCTTAAGCTCACAAGTTTTACTTCAGTTGCCGATGTTTTTTTTTTGTCGGCTGGTTTGGTCTATCACATTGGTACCAGGGGCTTCCAGAATAAGGTTCCGAAGGCTTTCAGCCGTTGCACCTCCTTAAACCCTACGCCTCAGGGCCCTCGTTCCGAACCCCTTCGTCGAGCCAGGCTACGGCCGGGTCGACGTTGTGCAGACCCTGGCCGGCCTTGGGCAAGCAGTTCCTTTAGGGGTCAACGGTTTTATGGTAGAGGGTTTCGGGTTGTGGGTTCCTTTTTGCTCACGGCTTGGCTTAAGTGGGTGGCACAGGCTCATTGTTAGTAGGAGGTAATGCAGGTATTGAGGGCGTTAGATACGGCTTGGACATCAGGTGCATTATTTGCAGGAGACAGGCGGCCTGAGGCTTGCTCTTTTTGTGCAGTTTGTCTTGTTTACGTCACCCTGTATCGGATTATTAGCAGCCACGCCGTAGGCCCCGGAATTGAACATACTTCGCATGGTTTCGTGTTACGCAGGAGCGCAGGTGTAGGATTTAGGGGTTCGGGCAGCCCAGCTGACGCCTGCAACGCCACTTGATATCCTAATACAGAAGAAGCCTAAACTTATTAGAGTTCTCTAAAGGAGCCCCAAACCCTCTTCTAATCATTAAGGCCCCTACAGTAACTCCTACAGGCCCTGCGATGGCTTCAACCTTCGAACCTCCACCTTAAACCTTATAAACCTGCCGGCCAAGAGTAGGATCCTTAGTATCACGACCCCCCCCCCCCAAGAATCAAAAAGGACCCCATAAGCCCAAACCCCAAAACCTAAACCCTCAACCCTCAACCCTAAACCCCAAACCAAACCCTGAAGCCTCAAAGCCCGTGAACTCCAAGCCCTGAACCCTGAACCTATCTCTGCCTAAACCCCAAACCTGCAAACCCAAAACCCTGCCCTGAGACTCCGTCCCAACCCTAAACCCCTGAAGCCTGAAACCTAAAATCCTGAACCCTCAACCTAAACCCCTTAACCAAGTAGCAAGCTCAGACCGAACCTGCCATGCCTGCTTTGTGCGAGTGTGTGAGTCGAAACCCCTGGACTCTAAAGCCTAAAACCCCAAACCCATAAAACCCCATAAACTCTAAAGCCTCAAACCCTGAACCCTGAACACATGGTTTCTTAGTCCTGGGCAGGTGGGAAGAAACTCTTAACCCATACATCCTGCCAGGCGCAGCAAAAGGCCGAAGTTCTGAGCCTAGATGCATCGGCCTCGGTCCGTTGAGTTCAGGGCCTTTAGGACGACTAGGCCTTCAGTTTCTTTGGGTTGAGTTTCGGGCTTTTGAGTCCTTTTGTGATTTAGGTTTCTGGATTCAGGGCATGAAGGAGCAGGAATGAGGGGTTTCGGGTTTAGGGTTTAGAGCGCTTGCTCGGGATGAGACTGAGATATCGCCGAGTCGGTTGTGGGAACTTGTTGAGTGGTCGTTCGGCGACGAAAGGCGGGTTTTCAGTGTTTGCTTTTGATGTCGTTTGGTGTTCGGGGCATGTAGAGCTTGCAGTACATGGATAGATCCTTACGCCTTATGGACTCTAGACCATATAGACTAAACTCCACACCCTAGTTGGGTGCCTCGGCTGGGGCATGTAGAGACCCGCAATTCTTGGAAAGCCCATCGTGAAAAGAGAAAGAAGCATAGATATGTAACCGGCAGTCTAGGCTAGTTGGAGATGCAGACAACAGATGGACATTAGCAACGGGCATGTGGAAGAGTAGGGGACCTAGGTTACATGTGCTATATCCAATGTATGTACGTACTGTGCACGAGCTGTCGTTCACATGCAACTGTTCCTGTAGAGACCTATATACATGTAGCGGAGGAGAGGTGTCGAGTATAGGTTTTGTGCGTGTATGCATGTCTCTGTGTGTCTCTGTGTGTGTCTCTGTGTCTGTGTGTGTGTGTGTTTGTGTTTGTGTTTGTGTTTGTTGGTCGCACTGTGTTCACACTTTGACCGTGTCTCTATCTCTCTCTCTGCCTCTCTCCTCCGCATCTCCTTCGCTTTATCTCTCAGCTCTCAATCCTCGGGTTTTGTTCCGGATCAGGAAGCAGGTTGGACGGCACTCCACTTCGCGGTGAGTGGTGGCTTCGTGGAAGTCGTCTCGCTGTCCTTCCTGCCGGGTCTTGAAGAAGGGTTCTCATCGGATTTACATGCAGTGAAACACATCACAGCCTCTTGTATTCAGTTGAGCTAGCGTTTGAGTGTTCACGGTGCGGACTACCCCCGGTTCCCCTTATAAGCCGGGTCCGCGACAGGCTCCGGGGGTAAAGAGAAGAATGTCGGGACACCCTTGTCCATTCAGCTGGTCACACCCGCAATCTACTGCTATTGCTACTGCCCCTGCCCCTGCGCCCCTGCCGCTGCCACTGCCGCTGCTTCTGCGGCTGCTGCTGCTGCTGCTGCTGCTGCTGCTGCTACTACTCCGACTCCTACTCCTCCTGCTCCCACTGCTGCTACTGCGATCCTGCTACTGCTTCTACTACTAGTACGAGTACTATACTATAGTACTATACTATAGTACGAGAATTGGCAACAGCGGCAGCAGGAGCCGCAGCCGCAGGCAGCTCCAAAAAACTCCAGCGGAATACCTGCTTTGTTACTACGACTCGCGACCCATTGACGGCAACTGGGTTCGGTTTCGAGTCTTAGAAATCTTCCATCAGCCCAACGACCAAACGAGGCCAACATGTCTTGTCTCTTACTCTAACCACAAGAGTTCATCAACAGTGATCGTTGCAAGGGCTTGCAGCTTAGTATCCGGATCCTTCCTCTGATCTCCCAATCTTTTGAGCCTCCGGCCACGGTGTTGGAAGCCTCGGGATCCTCCATTGCCGACATGCCAGGCTTCAGCACGCGAAAGGGGCGTTGGGTGCGAAAACCTTCGAAGGACAGGACGTGGGACCTTCCGAGCTCGAAGAAGAGTCCTTCAACTCTAGATTGCAGGCTTTAGGGCTTTAGGGCTTTTAGGGTTAATAAGTGTTCCGGATCCTGCAACAACAGTTGTGCAGATGTCTTGGCAAGCCGCCGAAAAATCAGTAGGGAATCCCCGTATCCGTCAGTCTGCGCGGAACTGCCAGGAGACTCGCTTTTGCAGATGGCAGTACAAGCAGATGATGTGCCTCGGCTGTAAAAGTGATCGCACGATTTTAGTCTCAACGATGAATTTCTTTTTGAAACCATCTTATTGAGTCGCACCGGACTCGCAGCTGCTTGGGCAACAGGCAGCTGGAGGGATGAGTTACTTCCAGTGTATTGGTGCAAATGGTCAGCTTATCCACACGGCGTTGACAGACCAGAAGCACCAACACTTCTCGCTGCTGGCTGGGTTCTATGAAACCTAACTAAACCCTACGCCCTTATGGACTGGGAGATGGTATCTTAGTTCGCCTCTTGCATCCAAACTCCTTTCACTAAGCCCTTAGCCCATAACCCTAAAGCCTATAAAACCTGAACTGTCCCTGTTCTTCAGTCGACGGCGATTGTGATCACACTTCTAGCAGAGTCGGGCGGAGCCTGGCTTAGAACTGCTGAGGCTTGCATCAATACCCTGACGTGAGTACATAGTGTCATTGCGGTATTCCTGGAAAATGTTTCGCAGCAAGGTTTAGATCTTTTTGTGTCAGCAGGTTCGCTATAAGCTGCTTTGTTTCAGAAGCACCGCGGTGCACGTCTTCTACAAGTCTGTTTCCTGGGGCATCAATGCGGCAAAGCCTTAGACCTCAAGACCCCAAAGCCCAGATCACGCTCAAAGAAGCGTCTCCAGGCTTCAATGAGCCAACTACTGCTCGCCTCCTTACCGGAGGCTGTCGCGGGGTTTTGTGTCTACTTGAAGGCTCGTGGGTAGAATCTTCGTGTCATAAGTATGTTGCCTCACTTAGCTGTGTTCTTCCGGTATACATGCCTGCCAACGAACCCCTTTCAAGCTGCGGAGTAGCTGTCTAGCAAGATGCTTTGCCACGCGCATGTTGGGCTGATGGTAGAAAGGGTTCTGATCTCCAGAGTTCAGGCCTAGACGAAATACTTAACCTGACAGGGGCATCATTCTGAGATGCTGCAATGATTATTCGCTGGTTGGTGTAGAGCTGGAGGAATATACGTAGAATCTCGCAAGTGTTTGGGCCTGTTCGCCCATCAGTAGGAAGGACTTTGGTTCAGCACCCGCAACATCCCACACGAAGCTACCTCGGAGGGCTTGTGGCAAAGGGTAAGGAGCCCCACACCTCTCGCCGACCCTCAAGCCTAGTCAGCGGAGTGAGCGGGTGAGCTGGTTGGGTTGATCGGTCTTAGCTCGAAAACTCCAAGACCAGTCAAGTCAACCTCGGGAGCCTACCCCTACATCCAGAACCTAGACCTTCATCCTGAAACAGCGAAGCGCAAAACCCTGAGCTTCAAGCCCTGAACCCCTAAAACCTCAATTAAACCGAAGCCCTAAACCCTAAACCCCTATGCTACAGAACCCTCAGTGCGAACCCCCTCGCCCAGAGCGAGCTGTGTCTAATGTGGTTTCTGCTCGTGCAACGATCGTCTTCCGTGCAGTGTAACCAATCGCAAAAGGTGCACAGCGAGAGCCCCAAGCCTAAACCCTAAACCCTGAACCCTATAAACCCTAAACCCAAGCCTGGGCTTAAAAACCGGAAAAAAAACCCAAAGGGCCCCGGAGCCACAGCCCCAAGCAACCTCCCCGCCCCAACTTGAAAGCATGCTTGGAGCCGTCGGCTGTTGTTTTGAAAATCCGCAGCAATCAGGAAGCACTCTAACCCTAACCTCGCAGGTACCTACTATATAGGGCCCTNNATAGTAGGTACCTGGGGGGTAGGGTAATTTCGGTCGAATTTCATCAAGTATGATGTGTCACCAGGGCAATTGCGCAATCAGCTCTACAACTTTGACCCACGTGTGGCACCCTGGACTGCAGGCCTCAGCAGATGCGACAGAAGCGGCGGCAGTTGCGGCACAACGGGGCTGCGCCGCTTGGGCTCTCACTAACTGCGGGATCACTCTGAAGCTTCCAGATCATGCCTTGCACAAGGGGGCATTTGGGGGGCTTCGAGCATGGGGTTTATAGGCTTAGGGTTAGGTTTTACGTTTGAGGCTTGCATGCAGACAGACCTGCTGACAAGCCTGGAGATAAGATGGCGTAAGACACATCGGACCTTAGAGAGCGAGACACTCAACTAGAATTCGGATAATGGGAAGCGAAGTGGTTGAATATGTGTTTGAACTACTTGTTGCGATTGCTGCTTATAGATCACCGATAGGGCTGTTGGTTTATCTGCTGCCAGCCTCGAAGCTGCTCCAGCCATTTCTTGCGATTTCCCTTCGCGCGCATGCCTTCTGCGTCCAGCTGCTCCCGATAAAACAACTCTTTGCACGAAATGCTGAACTGAACATATGCAGGGCTCTATACGGCACTACCGGCATAAAGCTTTCAAAAAATAGTTACTGCAACTGCTGCTAGCACTGCTGCTAGCACTGCTGCTGCTGCAGCCGCAGCTGCTACAACAACAACAACTACTAC